CCCCCCCACCCCTGCTCTAAATGACCATTATTGTGCACATGTGCTTGCCTTTACTCAAATTTGAAACTGGTTTTTGGGTGGCATTTTCTTTTACATGCTGTTTCTTTGGATTTCATGGGGTTTTAAAAAAATGATTTATAGTGTCTAATTATTTAATCACCACATCAGTTTCACTCTTCTTTTTACACCCCAAAATTTTCAGTTTCAAAGTGTCTTGTGTTTTTGTAATCCAATGTCTGTTCCCCCTGTATGCACAATGTTTTTGTGCTGAGGATTCTTCATACTTGTCTGTTCAGGTGATCTCCTCATGATGGAAAATATATTTTTTTGAAGTAGGCTAATCAGGTGGATAGAGGGTGCCACTGGTAGATCCTACTTCTTTACTTTCCCTCTGTTGTTACTCTCTGTCTGTCTTACTTTTTCCCAATACTAAATCAGTGACCATTATTGGGTTGATGTGTTTCTCTTACTTTGTTTAAGAAAAAACAATTGCAAACTGTATTGTAGCATTCAGCTCTAAGAACTGATGGGAACTGCTGGTTTTCAATGGGATTTGTAGAGTCGAATGGCTTTACAACCCACATTTACAGTTATATCTTCTTACTTATATCTTTCTATTTTGACACCAGAACGTTTACTGCCCACCACTTAGACATTACAATGTTCAATGATTACAAGAAACCATGAGGGGGAGGGTTGTAATGTATTTGAGAAATGGTTTTCAGTTCTGATGTTTTCTTTCCATCCTCCAGGCTGAAGGGAAAAAGACAAAGAAGTTTGGGAAGGTTCGTCTCACTGTGGATGATGTGAGTATTTTCCTACACCGACCTACAAAGTTTTAATGGTTGTTGGTTTTTTTTTTACTTTATGGACCAGCGCTGTTCCCATTAATTTTTCTTCTTCAGCATTTATGATATTTGGGCTTTTCACAGCTATTAAAATCAGGGCAGAGGGATTCAAATGGCATGTGATTTTTTACAGATTTATATAATGAATTTAGGTGTCATTTTTCTCAAACTAGTAGAATTAAAGCATATTATATCTTAAATCATAGAGGTAGGCACAGCAATATTTTGTATTTAACTCGTACGAGACAGAATGATAAGTGGAGCTAACAAGTGTTATAAAATGTACCCACATGAGTACATATTACTAATTCTTTTGTGTTGTTTCAAACTACTCAGGTGCGAGACAGTCCAGACGCAGACAAAAGCAGACGACAGAAGAAGGGCAACACAAAACGGAAGAGGTCACCGTCCCCTCCCGCTGAAAAGATCAAGAGAAAAAGGTAAAAGCAGTGGCTAGTACAGGGTCAGCCTGTACAGTGAAACTGGGATTTAACGAAAGGAGATGGATTCCCCCTTTATTTTACTAATTAAAATCAACAAAAGTTTGACTGTATTTAGAAGTTGGGG